AGGGGTGAGAAGGGGACAGGAAAGGAGAGGGGATGAGGGAGGGAGGGAGGGAGGGAGAGAGAGATTGTGAAACACTGTCAGAGAGCTTTAGGCTAATAGATGTCACCTAGGCAGACACCCAGTTCAATCTGCAGAATAAAAAACTTGGCAAGGCTTCTGTCCCTGCCACCTCTAGTTAGACCATGACAGTTTGAGGTGGCAGCCCAGTACTGAGCAGCTAGCTATAACCCAAATGTTTTCCAGAACCTCCTCTACAATAACATTCCATGTTTTTAAACTACCCTTATGACAGTAATCGATGTCCGTCCCAGGAAGAAAAGGAGGAAGTGGATTGTAGTGGCTCACAACTGTAAGTCTAGGCTCAGCAGGCTAAGTCAGAGGAATCTGCTCCAAATGTGAGTCCAACCTGGGATACAAAATAAGACCTTATATCAAAGACCCCAAAATCAAAACCAGTGGTGCAGATCTTAGCAGCTGAAAGGGTCTCAAGCCTGCATGACCCAAGGACCCTGCCCAGTTCCTGGTGAGAAAACATGGCTGCTGCCTTCTGAGACATATGGTCCTGGAAAGAGGACCTCACTGAGGGATGACGACTCCAAGCATTCATAAAATGCTGTGGGTGGGGATAACCCTAGCTAGCGTCACTGTCCATGTGACCTCTCTGTGCAGCCATGGCTGAGTGACCACCCCTCTCTCAACCCACAGTCTCTGATGGATGCCTGGGAACGACTGTGTGGCCCAAAGGCACAACAGGTGCTCCACAAGCTTTGCTGACAGCATGAAGAAATGGGTGACTAGCAACCCCTGTGCACACTAAGTGCAAGAGCACTTCTTTGCAATTCTTTCTTTTTACTTGGTGTTGAGGACAAAGCTCAAGGCACCATTTCCTCAGGAGGACAGGGAAAGAGGCCAGATGCTCATATTGATCTCCTGCTCTGTCCAGGTGTCTTCTCCCCACCCCACCCTTGGTTTCTTGAGACAGGGTTTCTCTGTGTAGCCCTGGATGTCCTGGAACTCACTCTGAGATATGACTGCCTCTACTTCCTGAGCGCTGAGATTAAAGGCATGCACTACCACTGCTGGGATTGTTCCAGTTTGTTTGTTTTGTTTTCTGGGACAGGGTTTCTCTGTAGCTTTGGAGGCTGTCCTAGAACTTGCTCAGTAGACCAGGCTGGCCTCAAACTCACAGAGACCCACCTGCCTCTGCCTCCTAACTGCTAGGATTAAAGGTGTGCACCACCACTGCCCAGCGGCTGTTCCAGGTATATTATCAGGCATTTTCCCTATGGTTTTTTGCACTATCCTTACTGAGCCCTGTAACACAAGTAGAGTCAACGCCATTTTACAGGTAAGAACAGAGACTCCATGAGGGTTATGCGGGTGGGTCAGGTCTTGTTTGCAGGTGAGGGGCAAGCACGTTCAGGCTCAGACTACAGTTTGCACCCCATCTATACCTGTCCCCCAAGGGGACTGAGGTAAAAACAATGAGGGCTTTTGATTTGGTCCCAAGCTTTGGGATTCCCCACAGTACACATGGCCCTTATATCACTACTTACTCTTGGATCCCCTTGGCAAGGCCATGAATGCCAGGCCCCACTCCCAGGAGCCTCAAGGAAGAGGAGAAAGGGGAAAGGACAGTGGAGTACACTGTCCCAGATTCCCATCCTGGGTCGGGGTTGTTCTATTTTCTTTTCTGTTGTCATCAAAAAGCTTAGAGGAGGTCAGGGGTCCTTCAGTTTATAATCCAGATCCAGTCCATCACTGAGGGAAGTCAGGGCAGGATCAGGACTTGAAGGCAGTGCTTCTCATTACATCGCATGGGCATCACCTCTGATCAAGGGACACACTTCACAACCAAAGTAGTACAGTAGGAACCACGCAGAATGCTTCCTGGCTCACTTAACCACAGGCTCATGGTCAGCTAACTTCCTTAGATAGCCTAGGCCCACCTGCCCAGAGAACAAATGCATCCCACTATGGGCAAGGTATCCTATACCAATTAACAAGAAAATCCTCCACAGACATGGCCACAGGCGAGTCTGATCTAGACGTTTCTTAGTTGAGGCCCTCCTCTCAAGTGATTCTAGGCTATATTATGCTGACAGTGATTTAGCTGTGTCCCACGCCCCTGGACAGGGACTACCACCTCAGGTACCTTGTCCTAGAAATTTGGACTTCTGTGGGCCTCATCTGAGGGTGTTCTTAAATTGAGACAAATTTAACCCCTAAACTCACAGGGGAGTTCCTGACTGCCTTCTGGCTGAGAAGGAGGCTTTCAGAATCCAACAACCCTCCTGCTTACTAGGATCTTTCCCAGATGAGCCCCTCATTTGCTGTGTGGCCTCAGACCAGTGACTGACCCTCTCTGGGCCTAGTTACCAACTGAGAGCTACGGGCTCAGTCTCAGCTCAACCCTACATGACACCCGCTCTGCCTGTGCGTCTGTCTGGCTCAGTTCCAGACAGTAGCACAGCAGGGCTGTCACATGCTGATCCACGTGACAAGCAGCGGCTGGGGGCTCCATCCCATGCAGAAGACAGGGCACTCAGTGGTCCCTCGGCCCTACACCTATCCCAGCTAGCCGAATCCTGCCGGGCTGGCAGAGGGGCGTGGGCCTGCAGGCCTCTCTTGCCCTCCCAGGTAGGTTGGGGAGCTGGGTGAGGCGGTGAGGAGCATCTCCTAGGTGCAAGGTCGGCACAGAGGCCCTGGCCAGCAGCCTCCAGGCTGGCCCAGGGCACCTGCGGGAAAGACTGCATGGTGACCCGGGGTAGAGGGACAAAGGATGTCTCTTTCTCACACACACAGGTACATGTAACCCAATCGCCAAACTGTCTGCCCCCAGCAGCTGCTCAGGATCATCCCCCGTTGTGCCGGCTCCCACAGGTGTCCCTGGGGTGGAGCCAGGCACAGCTCTGCACCTGCACAGGAGCAGGACCCCAGAGGCCACCTCAGTAATACATAGTGTCATGATGGTTGTCCTGAGGGTGGCAGTCGGAGGAGATGTCTTTGGGGAGAGACACATCTCCAGCTCTACAGTTGTAGCTCTGCCATACACATCCTATGTGACCAAGTCCCGTCCCCTTACAGGGCCCCATTTTCTCATTGTTTGTGAGTGGGCTGCAGCTGGAGCTGAGGGTCATGGGTAGGCAGAAGCCTGAGACACAGCTGGCAGAGGGCTAGTCCTGAGACTGTATTTCTGGACTCTGGGTTTGACCTCTTCTTTTAGCAGATGGGGAAACAGACTCAGAGTAGACAAGGCTGGGTTCAGCCTCTCTTAATATTCCAGGTCACTGGGTCCCCCTTCACACTGCATTTCCCAGGCTCTTCTCCTAGGGCTTAGAACACGCCCACCTCAGCCTTCCTTCCCACCAACCACTCCCTACCCACTATCCCACTCAACGCTCAGAAATGCTGTGTGAGCCTGAATTAAAGCCACCCTTCTCTGGGCCCTGCCTCCTTGTCTGTGATCTGAGAGAGTTTCTTGGCCTCTATGAGATAGATGTCAACCAGCAGCTTTTACCAGGCCTGCAGCCAAGGTCAGGCACTAGGCCAGGATGGCCCCGCCCCAGGGGCAGGCATTGTTGGACCTTGCATAAAGGCGGGGTGCCAGGCAGGGCTGGACAGCCAGGAAGAAAGGCAGCTTGGCGAGGCCTCAGGTACTGTATCCCGGGGAGATGGGAGTGGAACTGTTATTTATCTGTCCTGGCTGGGATCTAGCCCAGCTATTCTGGGGTGCCGGGCTCCCTATCTTGTCTGGCAACTGGCAGCTTCACACACAGGCAGCCTGTGTCTTCCAGGCCTCACTGCTTGCAGCCTGGGGAAAAAAGGGAAGGAAGAGACTGGGGGTGGGGGAGAACTGAGGTGCTCCAAGTACAGGGCCCCAGAGTCTGCACTGCGCTCCCCAGCCCTTCTCCTCTTGGGGGACCTGACAGCCTGTGGGGGGAGGTGAGGGACAGGGCTGCTATAGGAGAGAACACCGTCTCCAACCCCTGAAGGTCCATTCAGGTACCCTTTCCAAGGCACTAACTACCATGCAGGTCCAGCTTGTTGGAGACACTCCAAGCCAGCTTGTTGGAGACACTCCAAGGATCTTAGGAAAGACTCCCCAGCAATACTTTATCAGAGCTTAGAGAAAGAGGCAGGCACCTGCTGTGCCTGGGAAGGGATCTTGTGGTTCCCAGACTTCATCTTATCTATTGGAGGGCAGGCTTAGTCTCCAGGCCCAGGAGTATCTTGGTCCCAGCTTCCCAGGGACCATGGACAGAAGCTGCTGCCCAGAGCTCTGGGCAGTCTTCCTAGTACCCAGGGCAAAAGCCACACATAGGCTACAGAGGCCAAACATAGGAGATTAGAGCAAGAGGCCCTCTGGTTTTAGGACCTGGGGGTCTTTGAGCCTGACATAGCACTTCGGCTGCTGGCAGTCCTGATGGAGGTCTCTGAGCCCTGAGGCCATACCTTCATTCACTGTCACTAAGATCCACAGCCTTCCTGAATACCACACTGGGCCCTTATCCTAGAGTCCTCCTCTCCCAGTCCCTCTGGTGCCATCTACCTCTTATTGGAGCCATCATGGCTAAGTGCTTCTGGGGGACAGGCCTGGACCAAGCCTTTCTCAACCTCTGCCTTTGAGTTTCCCCAGCAACAAGCATAGAGGTGACACCAAGAACTGGCTCATTTTACTAATGAAAAAAAGTGAGCCAAAGAGCCCAAAGGCCAGGCCCTCTAGCCAGTAGACAAGCTGCTAGGATTTGTGCCCAGGTCTTTGAGCCCCTTGACCATGAAGGCCTATGGAGTAGTTGAGGAAACTGAGGCAGGAAGGATGAGGGACTGTACTGAGCTTTTATGCACAGGAGCCCAGAGGGGTAGTAGAGCAGGCAAGTGCCAGAGGGCAGGTCCATCAGTTGGATCCTTCCAAGGGCACAGGGCCTTTGCATGGCAGCTCATCCCCTAGGCTACGGAGTGCAGGCCTAAGTGCTCACTCCTTCCCCGTTTTCTCTAGTTTATAGGCTCACTCTGCAGCCCGGGACATCCACAGCAAGTGACCATGTTGGCCCTGCCTACCATAGTCAGCACCAGTTTGTTTGTGGGGACAGAGTCTCAAGTAGCCTAGGCTGGTCTCAAGCTTACTGTGTAGCCAAGAATGACCCTGAACTCTTTGACCTTTAGTCCCTCTTGCATGCTAGACAAGCATGCTACCAACAGAGCTACATCTCCACCTCCTATTTAGTGGTTTTTGTTTGTTTTAGAGAGAGGGTTTCACTGAATAGCTTTGGCTGTCTTGGAATTCACTCTGTCGGCCAGGCCAGCCTCGAATTCAGAGATCCACCTACCTCTGCCTCTCCAGTGCTGGAATTAAAGGTTGTCCAGCTAGCATAGAAAGCTCCTTTACCCTCTAAGCCATCTTGCCAGCCCATAACTTGGGGAGTTTTTCTGATACAAGGTTTCGTATAGCTGTGGTTCACATGGAATTTGCTAAAACTCATAGTAATCCTCTTGCCTCTGCCTTTCTATTGCTGGGACTAGAGGCATGGCCCACCATACCAGGCTGATCATTGCTTTAGAGGAAGCCCCAGGCCCATGTCCTACTCAGGCCCCAGGAAATGCACATGACAAAGACACTCCCACTCCACCCTCAGGGAGACCACCCCCCTCAGGCTCACCAGCTGTGGATCTAAGCAGCTGAGGTCTGGGCTTGGACAGACAGCCTTGGGGGGGGGCGGTCAGTAAGAATGATGGGATTGAGGGATAGAGACCCCAACAGATTGGATTTTCATGCGTAAGGGGCTCTTCTCTTTCTGTGGTGGACAAGTTTTTGTTGTCCTTCTGGTCCTGAATCTGCAGCTCACAAGGGTTGCTTCCTCCCAAGAACTGCCTGTTCCTCTCCCCATACTCAGGCCACTCGGTTCTCGTGTACCAGGAATGGGGAGACTGAAGCAGGCACCCTCTGTGCCTTTGGGCTAAAGGTTTCCAGTGTGAAGGAGCTGGGTGTCCTCAGCTCTGTGGCCTGGTCTTCGTCTCCTGTCTCCTTCAGTGGTGTGAAGGACAGTCCCCTTGCGGCTGTAGTGTTTACATGGGTCAGTGCAGACATCCTTACAAACTTAATCCAGGATGGGGTATACCTGGGGAGGGAGGATGGGGTACAGCCCCATGAAGTTACACAGGAATCTCCTGGTGTGTGTCCACTGTGGCTTCCCAGTTCCCTTGCGATGTCTGAATCTAAGACTCCTGATCCCAGGTGGCAGATGGCCTTGGCTCCTCTGCTTATTCAGGGCCAGCCTGGCCTCCTAGGCCCTGGTGGGCACACTCTCAGGTTTCAATTCCCGGTGACCAACCCTGAGAGGGCATTGTGGGCCAGGTGGGCAGTCCTGCAGGAGAGGTGTGTGTCCTGTTGCCATAGTGAGTTGGCATCAGCGTTGCTAGGAACGCTTCTAGAATGTTCTGTACAGAACCCACCCACAGAGTTCCCTTGCCCATGGGCCAGTGTTTGGTAGCAGCATGCTTTACATTTTTGTGGGCTCTGAAGAGACTCCAGTGAGCAAGGCAGTGGGGAGAGAGAGACTTTCAGTGGTGTCATTTTTTTCTTTTCTCATGGGCATGTGTGTTCACATGTGTGTGTTCACGTGTGTGTGTGTTCACTGTGTGGGGATTGAACATGCATTTGTATGCATGTATAAGGAGACCTGAGGTTGATGTTTGGAACCTTTCCCCATAGCTCCCCACTTTTATTCTCTTGGAGACAGGGTCTCTCAGTCAAACCCAGAGCTTGCCAATATGAGTCTCATTAGCCAGCTTGCTCCGGGGAGTCCTGTCTCTGCTTTCTGAAGCTGGGATTGTGGGGAGCTCACATGCCCACTAGCATTTACTTGGGCCTGGGAATCTGAACTCTGGTCCTCTTGCTTACATAGCAAGAGCTTAAACACAGAATGTCTCCAGCTCTGCTGGTGACTCATGGACTGCTGGCCTCCCTGTGCCTTCTGGGAACAATGACAAACGCTTTGTGCAGTAGTCTGCTCCAATCTTCCAGCAAACCGGGGCTTCATCTTCTGCAATGGCAAGGAAACTGAGGCAGGGCAGACGAGACTTTGCCCAAGCCCTGAGAGCACTGATTACACTCTGGGGGTGAGGGCGGGGACAATGCTGTCTCCCGAAAGTTTCCAGCTTGTCTTGTTGGAGCAGGAGGCCTGGAGGGTCAACACTGAACCCTTGGCACAGCCTCTGGGGTGGCTTATTGCTCCAGATGGCTGCTCTCCACACACCAGTCCCAAAGGCCTCCAGCACTCGTGCTCACCTGGGCCCGGAAGCAGACAGCAAGTTTTCATCTTCGCAAAACCTGTCAGCTAAGCCAGACATGGTGTTATGTGTCTATAATCCCAGCACTGAGAAGATATAAACAGGAAGACCCAAAATTCAAGGCCATCACAGCTACATATGTGTTTAAGGCAGCCTGTTTCACAACCAAGAAAAAAACCAAAACACCCGGGTCTGGAGAGATGACTCAGCTCATGAAGCCCTTGTCACTCGAGCATGGGTACCAGTGTTCAGATTCCAGCACCTACACAGTGCTGGCGGGTGTGACAGCTGTCTGGAATTCCATAGCCCAAAGGTGGAGAGAGCAGATCCCCAGAGCGAACTGTCTGGCTACACTAGTTTCCCTTTAGCACCTTTTATTTTATTATGTGTGTGTGAGTGAGGTTGCTGGCAGAGGCCAGAGGTGTCAGATTCTCTGGAGCTAAAGTCACAGGCGGTTATGGGCCACCTGATGTGGGTGCTGGGATTTGAACTAAGGTCCCCTCTTAACTGCTGCATTCTCATCTCCAACCCTAGATTGGTCTTATCTGTGAACTTGGGGTTCAGTTGAGAGACTCTGACTTAACAATAATGAGGAGAATATTTGAGGACCCATCATTAGCCTTGGGCCTGTGTGGACATGGGAACACATAGACAGACAGACATGTACATCACACACAGAGGCACATGCAAAATTTTTTTTTCTGAAACACAAACCAACAACAAACCCCTACAACTCCAACAATTATCTTTTTTTTGCCACTGGGAAGTTTGGGATACTGAGCCCCAAGAAATGAGTTAAATAGGCAAAGTGAACTGACCTCCTGGTCCCGTGGAAGGGGACAATAAGTAAGAGGGGGTAAGCAGAGGGTTACTAGGCATCCTGTGATGTCACTCAGTACAGAGCCGGGCAGAGGGGACACCGTGAGAGTAAATGGAGAAGCACTGGAGTGGGCTTCGGTTATACTGAGACCTGAAGCCAGAGAGGGAATGAGGACAGGGTCCCCAACCGGTCCTTGGTACCAGGCCAAGGAGTAAATGCGTCACAGGGCTCCTCTGATGAGCCTCGTGTAAACAGGAATGGGCCCAAGGGAATATCAGGCCCCTTCCCTGTCTGCCAGTCCCTGCTGGTGGTTTCCCATCATCCCACCCGACTCTCCTCCCCAGCTGTCACCTTCTCTTGTGGTCCAGCTGGTTATAGCTGTGGTGGACAGGAGGGCCTCTGAGAAGCCCAAGCCATTCTTCCCTTTGTGCTAAGTGGGCTGAGGGTCTGCCCAAGGTCACCCCAGGTCTCTGAGCTGCTACCGGCCAGCCTGGCTCCTCTTGTGTAGGAGCCCTGAGCTGTGGTGGCTGCAGTGGTGGCACTATATCCCATTCCTGTCTACTCTACTCAGGCCGGGCAGGATGAAGTGTAGCCCCTGGCAGAGCTCTAAAGCAGGAGGGCCTTGGGTCAGAGATAACTTCACTGAAGCAGCAGAGCCCTGGCTCGCCTGCCCAGCCTTGCCATGTCCATACCCTGCCCCGTGGCCTCCTATTGTCCACCTGGCAGAAGGAGGCATGCCTTTTGTGTCGGGCTGTGTCCCATAAGGACAGAGTCTCAAAGGCCTCTCTTGTCACCAATGGAGTTATCCAAGGGAGGCCCTGGGAAGAGTCAGCGGACTATCGGTGATGGGCAGGGGCCAGGAAGTATCACAAAGGTGGATTCAAACGGCACTGTCCTGCAGGATGGACTCATTTGAGGACACACTGCGGCAGCTGCGGGAGGCCTTCAACACCGGGCGGACACGGCCAGCTGAGTTCCGGGCTGCACAGCTGCAAGGCCTGGGCCGATTCCTTCGAGACAACAAACAGCAGCTGCAGGAGGCACTGGCCCAAGACCTACACAAGGTAGCATGGACAGTGGGGCAAGGGTGTGTGTACCCCTGGGTCAGCAAGGGTGGTACACCTGGGACAAGGAACACAGCTCAGCCACATCTTCAAGGAAGAGGTGTTGAAAGCCCATGGGACCCCTTTCATGAGCCACAGCTGACTGCTGGCCCCCATCCATTCCCTGCCACAACTACTGTGCAGCTATTTATGGAAAACTTGGTATGTGCTTGGTACTGGTACCAGGATAGGCTCTGGGGACACAAGGAGAGCAAAGCAAAGTCTCTGGTCTACAGAGCTGACCTCTGCTCTGCATGGGAAGACCTGGTAACAATATGACAGTAAATCCAAGCTGTGCATGTGGCCTGGTAGCATGTGAGGTGCAGACATTCCAGTGTTAAGTCAGGGGCCAGACAGTGATGCTGGTTTGTATGTGGTGGGTTCAACAAAGGTTATTCCCGAAAAGGGGGGCTCGGAATAGAGACAGGAAGTTGGGGGATGGGGGAAGAGCTGCATGGAAATTAGAGTAAGTGGCCCAGCAGCATATGGAAAGGTCCTGATGCAGGAGAGCTTGGTGTGTCTGTAATTGAGGAACTGCAGAGGCCAGAGGAGCTGGAGAGACTGAGAGACAGAGATATAGGAGAAAGGCCTGAGGAAGTGGACCACACCCAGGAGGAATTGGGTCTCACTTGGCACTGTGGACATCATAGCCTCTGTACCCTGGAGGGTTCTGGATTTCCCTCTCAGTTCCAGCAGCAGTTATACAGGGTCCCCCAGTCCTGTCCCAGGGAGTTCCTCTTCTCTTTATCCCCTGCTGATCTCTAGAGAGAATCCCCCAGGCTGATGGACTGTCCCAGGACTGACTCCTGCAGCTTCTCACCAGCCTTGCCCAGCACCCAGGAGACCTGACCTTTCCCCCTTCAGCTCAGGTTCCACCTCTGTGTTCTCATCGGACTCCAGAAACCTGGACCTTACAAAGGAGGCAGCGACCCAGAAAATTCAACCTGGTGCCTCCCCCTGATCCAGTCAGACTACTCACTGTCTCCAGTCGATCTCTCATCTGACCCCTAGCACTCCTCCTGCTAGAGTTATCCCAGATAACTCCAGAGTAAGGCTCAGAGAAGGCAATTTCTTGCCCAGAGACACACAGCCAGGAAAAGCAAGGCCTGAGGGAGAACCTCATTCAAAGTGCCCTGCTCTCCTGAGGTCACCGTGCCCACTGTGTGCAGACTGATTTCTAGCCCATGCCACCACCACCACCACCCCCACCCCCACCACCCCCCAAAAAAACTCAATAGGGTCCTTAGGAGCTGCCAGGCTTCCTGTGAGCTTTGTGTGACTGAAAGTTACCTGAATCAGGCTCAGTTACTCGGAAGCACAGTGGGTTTGGGTGGCACAGAACACTTACCTGGCTTTGCATGGCGTATCCCCTTGTGTGGTCTTCCTGGCACTCTAAACCACCTCTGCAGGCCTCCATCTTCTGCTGTTACCCAAGGGAGCCTGCATTTCAATGGCCACAATTCAGCCTGGCTCTGGCATCCCTGACCCTGAAGCCTGGGTCCCTCCTAGAATTCCGGGCAGAGCACATAGCTTGCAGAATTCAGTATGGTCCTGTTTTTTTTTGTTTGTTTGTTTTGTTTTGTTTGAGACAGAATCTCAAGCTTCTTATGAAGCTAAGAATGACCTTGAACTCTTGATCTTCCTGCTTTTGCCTCCTCGGTGCTAGATATATGCCATCGTGCCCAGGTGATACATTCTGGGTATGGGACCCAGGGTTTTGTGTATGCTAGGCACATCCCCAGTCCCAGGTCCTACTGTTGCTTGTCTTCTTACCTTTCCCCTGGGCACATGGTACTTTCCCCATGGGCTGTGGGAAATGAGACCATTGACTGAGGAGACTTGTGCCTTGTGCCCTTCTCTCTGTGCTCCCTGCTAAGCAGAAGCAGAGCAAGCCCCAGCCAACCACAGGGCCTTTGCATCTGCTAGGATCTCTTCCAACCATATTCTGCCTCCAGTTGCCCAGGGCTCCCTGGAGTGGGTGAATGAATGAATGAATGAATGAGTGAGTGAAAGGATAAAGAGATGCAGGACCTTTGGGGAGGAAGCTGTACCTTCCCCACACTCCAGCTGTTTGCTGTTTCAGAGTTCCCTGGGGCTTAGCCTTGACCCTCATTCCCTCCTGTAGTCAACCTTTGAGTCAGAAGTATCTGAGATTGCCATAAGCCAGGCAGAGGTGGACCTGGCCCTCAGGAACCTGCGGTCTTGGATGAAGGATGAGAAAGTGTCCAAGAATCTGGTAAGTTGGAGGAGGGGGTCAGCGTGGCAGTTGGGCTTTGGGAACTGTTTGCTCCCACAGTGTGACTCTACAGAGCCTCACTGCTCACCCCTGACCCAGGCCACACAGCTGGACTCAGCCTTCATCCGGAAGGAGCCCTTTGGCCTGGTGCTCATCATTGTGCCCTGGAATTATCCCTTGAACCTGACGCTCGTGCCACTGGTGGGGGCCATTGCTGCAGGTGAGACCTCCACCTTCCCACAGCCCTACTCACTGGAGAACACAGGGCTACCTAGGGAACCAGGAAAGGAAGACAGGGGACCTGGCACTCTGCTCCCAGGCAGCCCCCTGGCCAGGGTCTGTCCATCACTTCTGATTCTTCATTTGAGAGTTAGTGTGGCCAGCACATACACGGATACCCTCTCCTAGCATTTCTTCTGTGCTGACTGCAGGGAACTGTGTGGTACTCAAGCCCTCAGAGACCAGCAAGGCCATTGAGAAGATCCTGGCTGAGGTCCTCCCCCGCTATCTGGACCAGGTAATTGGAGATAATCCAGTCCTAGGACTGAGTAGCTCCTCATGGGTGTAAGGCAGGGGACACAGCCCAATCTCAGGAGGGCCTTCAGTGTATGGGAGTCTATTTGAGGGAGTGTGTGCTTGTTTGTCTGTATGTGTGTTCATGTGTGTTTATGTGTAAGTGGAGGCCAGAGCTCAACCTCTGTTTCTTGGAAATGTTCACCCTGTGTTTTTGTTGTTATTGTTTTTTCCTTTGGTTTTTTGAGACAGGTTTTCTCTGTAGCTTTGAAGCCTGTCTTGGAACTATCTCTGTAGACCAGGCTGGCCTCAAACTCACAGAGATCTACCTGCCTCTGCCTCCTGAGTGTTGGGATTAAATGTGTGTGTGGCAGGGCAGTTCACCCTGTGTTTTGAGACAGGATCTCTCACTGGTTTCTGGGACTGGAGAATTTGGCTAGACTAGCTGACCAGTGAGTCTCTGGGATCTATCTTTCTGTACTGGCCCAGAGCCGGAATTACAGGTGCCTGCCATCACACAAGCTTTCCAGTGGGCATTCAGGATCACACTGAGCCATCTCTCCAGTCTTTGTTTCTTCTATTTTTTGACAGGGCCTCACTCTGTAGCCAAGGCTAGCCTCAAACTCATAGTGATCCTCCTGCCTCAGCTTCCTGAGAGCTGAATTACAGGAACGAGTTTCTAGTTGGCTAGGGGTATCTATTCTGGGTTGTACAGTCTTGGCTACATCACTATTCCTCACCCTCAGTTTCCCTTCTAGGACTTAGCCAGGGCAGTCTGGGGTACAACAGCTGGCACTAGCTTCATTCCTGCTCTAGGTCTACAGTGTTCAACCCCCAGGATGTTCTCAGGAAGGATCATCCAGGCCTGGGTGAAGCAAGGTGGGCAGGCTGGACCACCCTGGACTCAGAAGCTGAGTCTGAGAACCTTTGTCTTTTCCCACAGAGCTGCTTTGCTGTGGTGCTGGGTGGGCCTCAGGAGACCGGGCAGCTGCTGGAACACAGGTTTGACTACATCTTCTACACAGGTAAGGTTCGGGGGGTGGCGCCTCCAGACCTTTAGGGAAGACAGACTCCCATGTCCACAATTACTAACCACCTCCCCAACCTCAACCCTGAGTCAAAAGTCGGCCCATGCCAAGCTCCTACTGTACCAGACCCTGACAGCAGCCCTGTGACCTCCTTTCAGCCCTGACAGGTGAGAGGCTGTTTCAGGGTGCTGAAAGGCAGCAGCAGTACCTGACCCAGGGTTACCTAGCTGGCCAGGATAGGATTTGCACCCAAGCTCTTAGGGAGGCTACCTCCCAGAGGTCACCTGCCATTATGCTAGCATGTCCCAGGTCCTGGACATCTGCTTCAGAGGCCCAGGATGAAATTTCTGGAAGATAAAAAGGTGGAGGAAGCAGTGGGCTGTGCTTCCTAAGACAGCTGGTCTCTGACTTATAGGTGGTTACAGCAGGGGAGAAGTGGGATTTGGACCTTCCTCTAGACCTTGCCTCAAGCCTAGGAACAGCCCAGCTAGGAGCCGGACCTTGGTGGTGCATGCCTTTAATCCCAGCACTCAGGAGGCAGAGACAGGCAGATCTCTGTGAGTTCAAGGCCAGCCTGATTTACAGAGCCAGTTCCAGGATAGGCTCCAAAGCAATACAGAGAAACCCTGTCTCAAAAAAACAAAACAAGCCCAGCTGGGTTATTGAAGGCTGCTGAAGCAAAGGTAGATTGGTCTCCATTAGTACAGTCTCATAGTAGGCAAGGCAGGAGGCAGGGGAGTGTTGTCAAAATCATCTCTACACCCTCAGCCCTGGTGGCCCTTATGTTAGGTTCTCAGGGCCAGATGCAGAGGCAAAGCAAAGCCCAAGGCCAGCTTTCAAGCCAGGTTCCAACAGACTAACCCAGCCCATTGTTATCTGTAAAGCTGGGGCAATCCAAAGCACAGGTCCACACAGAGGACAAAGGCCACTATCACAGCATGCAATCTATAGGAAGTGCTATTCAGCCTCTCCTCCCAAAACCAGCGCATCTTGGTTGAGAACACAGACTGTATGTCAGAGGCTATATGTTCTGGATTATTAATTAATTCATTGGTTTATTTAATTTAATTTTTGTTTCTTTTGAATCAGGGTTTCTCTGTGTAACCCCAGATACCCTAGTATTCTCTCTATAGACCAGCCTGGTCTCAGACTTACAGACACCTGCCTGCCTCTGCCTCCTGATTGCTGGGATTCTGGTCTTTTATCTGTGTTTGAGGTGCCAGGCAAGTGCTCTACCACTGAGCCGTACTCTCAACCCTTGGGCTGTTGCTCTTGCGTGGGTTCTCTCTCTCTCTCTCTCTCTCTCTCTCTCTCTCTCTCTCTCTCTCTCTCTTTTCTCAAACGAGATGTCATGTAACCCAGGCTGGCCTCAGACTCACTATGTAGCTGAGGGTGACCTTCAACTCCTGACACTTTTGCCTCTAGCTCCTGAGTGCAAGGATTACATGAGTGCACCACCCTGGCTGAATCAGCCACTGTTTGAGATAGGATCTCACAGTGTAGCCCGGACTGGCATTGAACTTGAGGTAATCTGCCTCAGCTTTCTTAGCACTGAGACCACAGGCAAGTGTCCCTGTTGTCAAAGTGCTGAGGTGTTTGAACTGAGGAGAGCAGAGAGCAAACAAGGATTGGAAGGATTATGGTGTGGCAGGCAAGAGCTGGGACAGCTTGGAGAATGTGCGGATGGGGGCAGAAGGAGAGGGGCACTTTGGGAAGAGCCTGTAGACCAGGAACTCCGGGAAGGAAGATGTGAGACAGAGAAGTGGGACTGAGCATCTGTCAGGCTGAACTGGACTATGGCCTTGGAGGACAAGGCAGAGGACATCAGAGGTTTTAGGAGATGGAGAGGTGGCTAGTGCTATGGCGGGTTGGAGAATAAGCTGCAAGATGGGCCAGGGACAGAAGTGGATACAGGTAGGAGCTGAGGGGCTCCACATGGGAGGGGGTCATGGAGTCTGACTCACTGCTGGGAATGCAGGATAAATTCTTTCTCTGGAGCCTCCATGCAGGTGAGGCCACCCTCTTAGCCAACTGACTGATGAGTCACTCTAGGCCCTTTCCATGTACCCAGGGAATGCTTATGTAGGAAAGATCGTGATGGCCGCTGCTGCCAAACACCTGACACCCATCACCCTGGAGCTGGGGGGTAAGAACCCCTGCTATGTGGATGACAACTGCAACGCCCAGATTGTGGCCAACCGTGTGGCCTGGTTCCGCTACTTCAATGCTGGCCAGACCTGTGTGGCCCCCGATTACATCCTGTGTAGCCAGGAGATGCAGGAGCAGCTGGTGCCTGCCCTGCAGAATGCCATCACACGTTTCTATGGAGACAACCCACAGACCTCCCCTAACCTGGGCAGAATCATCAACCAGAAACATTTCAAGCGGCTCCAGGGACTGCTGGGCTGTGGCCGTGTGGCCATTGGCGGCCAGAGCGATGAGAGCGACCTCTACATTGGTGAGTCTCCCTCTTCCCAACCTGGGCTGAGACCTTTCCACGCTGGACTGCAAGTCTCAGCCTATGTCTGAATTCTCTGCCCTACCTCTGGAGGCTGCCTGAGTACACAGGTTCCACGGCACCCCATCACTGTGACTCTGAGCCCGTGACTCCTCAAACTCAGGAACCACTGAGCTATGACTCTAGAGGTTCAGAGTATGGCTTAAATGTCTGTTCTAGCTTTTGTTGTCCTGTGAGACTCCAGACCCCAAGCCTGAGGTCCTAGAAAGTCCCACCCTGGGAATGCCCTGTGTGGAGCACAGACTCTGTCCTTATTGGAGGCCCTCACTCGGGACAGGTCTTGCCTCTGGGTGAGGCTGAGTTGCCCATTGTGTTGCAGCACCCACAGTGTTAGTGGACGTGCAGGAGACAGAGCCTGTGATGCAGGAGGAGATCTTTGGACCCATCTTGCCTGTGGTGACTGTGAAGAACTTGGATGAGGCCATTGATTTCATTAACCGTCGGGAGAAGCCACTCTCGCTGTATGCCTTCTCTAAGAGAAGTCAGGTGTGATGGGGTTACCAGTAGTGTGTGTGGGAGGGGTGGCAACAGAGGGAGCACACACAGCCCCTCTGGGTAGTGACAGGACTTCAGATATGGTGGCCTCTTGGCTTAGCCCCTTCCTATCCTCCCAGAAGTCAAACTCTACCTGAACCAAACTCTCCTGGATGACATCACACCTGATCAAACAATTTTTTTTGAGATGAAGGTCTTGTGTAGCCTAGGCTAGTCTCAAACTATGTCCAGGATTGACCCTGATCCTTCTGACTCCACCTCCTGAGTGTTAGGATTGTAAATGTGTGCATTTGCACCTGGTTATAGTTGACCTTGGGGAATCAAACCCAAAGCTTCCAGTACACTAGACAAAACCTACCAAATTAGGTTGGAGAGATGGTTCAGTGGTTAAGAGCACTTGCAGGAGACTCAGGTTTGGTTCCCAGCACCAACTTCTGGTTCACAAGGATGCATAACTCCAATTCCAGGGGATCTAATGCCCTCTTCTGATTTCCTCAAGCACCAAGCACTTACACGGTACATACACATACATGCATGCAGGCAAAACAAACACATAAAATAAATAAATCTTTTTTTTTGAGACAGGGTCTCTCTGTGTAGCTTTGGAGCTTATCCTGGCACTTGCTCTGTAGACCAGGCTGGCCTCGAACTCACAGAGATCTGCCTGTCTCTGCCTTCCTATTAAAGGCGTGTGCCACCAACGCCCGGCAAAATAAATACATCTTACAGGGTGGTGGTGGCACACACCTTAAATCCCAGCACTTAGGAGGCAGAGGTAAGAGGGTCTCTGTGAGTTCAAGACCAGCCTGGTCTACAGCGCTAGTTCCAGGACAGCCAGAGCTGTTACGCAGAGAAAGCCTGTCTTGTAAAAAAAAAAAAAAATACCTTTAAAGATTCAAACAAACAAACAACAATTTGACCAAATAAGGGAACTGGTGAGAGAGCTCAGTCAGTAAAGATGTATGACCTCTAAGAATCTTGTGCTAGAAGAACAGACTCCCACAAGTTTTTCTCTCATAAAATTTTCACACGAGCTGAGACTAGTACACATAAATACACAATAATCAAAATGTAATAGTTAAAACCCTACCAAATAAGTTACATACCCAGCTATCACATTTTTTAATTAAAACACACTTTTTATTCTAGAACAACTTTAAATACACAAAAAGCCACAAAGGCAGTAGACTTCCTGTGCACACCACAAGCAGCTCCCCGTGAAGGACACTGACCATGCCAGAACCAGGAAAGTACAGCAGGCATCTCCGTGACTACCCTCCATCCATGCTGTCTGTGCGCCCCATCTCACCATGCATGCCTTGGTCTCAGCTCGGAGTCCAGCCAGGTCTCTGCAATGTCTCCCATTTTCTTGGTTCTTCACTACTCCATAACAGGGAATGGGATTTCTAGAGAGAATGTCTCTGGGTGCCTCAGAGCCCTTGTATCCAGGAAGTTAAAGGTCATTTTGGCAAAACTGTGTCTGTTAGAAGGCTCTGCTGAGAGCTGTTCTGTCCTGTCTTGAGTATCTGAGCAAACCTCCGTGCTGGCCCCAAAGGGAGGCAATGTACTAGAGCCCTCTCTATGGAGGAGTGGCTACCATGTAACGGCAGAGATGTTCTAGATCCAGGGGAAAGATTTATCTCCTGAGCCATTTATTCAGTTAGAACAACTCTTATGGATAATTTTGACTTAACAATTTTTATTACATTCTTATGTATCTGTGTATATACGTAGAGGTCTGAGGACACCTTGCAGGAGTCACTTCTCTCCTCCACCTCCACTGGTGTAGTCACAGGCAACACTACCATACCTGACACTGTTTCAACTACCCAAGTCACCATTCTGTCCTGGACCTGCTCTGTGACCACTTCCTCTGTTGTTCTGCATGAGTAAGGGCTCTGCTGGGACCATCTCAGACTCACATTTGAATTCAGCTATTCCTCTATGGAACCTTAGAAAACACAACGCGACGCCTTTAATCCCAGCACTTAACAGGCAGAGGCAGGTGGATCTCTGAATTCAAGGCCAGCCTGGTCTACAGAGGGAGTTCCAGGACAGCCAGGGCTACACGGAGAAACTGTGTCTTGAAAAACAAAACAAACAAACAAAAAATACTCAATACAGCCCTTTTGGCAGTGAGGCCAACTGCCCCTCAAGTCTCCAGAGCCCAACACTGGTCCTATGCCAGGCTGTCTTCCAGCTGCTCATCCTCTGGTGTGAACACTGTTCTTAGCAGCCTCAGGCTGAGGCAATATTGCACCCTGGTGGGATCCACTTCTCCAGACAAGGCCCAATTTAGAGCTTTAAACACCCAACAGTCGACCGGGCGTTGGTGGCGCATGCCTTTAATCCCAGCACTCGGGAGGCAGAGGCAGGCGGATCTCTGTTAGTTCGAGGCCAGCCGGGTCTCCAGAGGGAGTGTCAGGATAGGCTTCAAAACTACACAGAGAAACCCTGTCTCGAAAAACAAAACAAAAACAACCAATAGCATTAAATGAAGTAAGGTAAACCCATCTCCTTTCCCTCCAGCTTTCTCAGACCTGCAGATTGCAGGAAAACCCTTAAGGCAGTCAGGCAAGGCCAATCTCAGGCTGCTGAGTCCAAACCTGGCTTAGCACCAAACTCATCCCCCAAAGCCCCTTACTTCTTTCTCCTTACTCTCTGAAAACCCCTTTCTTCTCTCTCAAAACTGTCACCAGAAGACTCAGTAGCCACATCATGTCCCCACTCTGCCTTTCCCCAGGTGATGTTTCCTTGGGTTTGTGTCACTCTGCCAAGGCAGCACACAGGCAGACTCACAGAGAGTGTGTCCCTAGGTAGAGTTGGTGAATCTGTCCAGACCCACCTTGGACCTCAGACCCTTGCTGAAACAAGGTACAACCAGATGTACTTTACAGGTTCTCTTTCTCTCCCAGGTGATTAAACAAGTCCTGGCCCGGACCAGCAGTGGGGGCTTCTGTGGGAACGATGGCTTCATGCACATGACCCTGTCCAGCCTTCCTTTTGGAGGAGTGGGTAGGTGGCAGCCGAGCTCTGCCCTCCTGGGCTGATCCATGGCTGCATCCCCACCCTGCTGCTGGAGCGCACTAACTGCAGAACACGCAGCCCACTTTCAGGGCAGCAGACACAACTGTGTCCATCTCTCCTGCTTCCCCCTACCCCCACAGTCTGTGGTGGAACCTTCCTGGTGTGCTTGCACATAAACATGTGGGTGAGAACCCACAGAGAGATCATTTTGTTGGGTTTTGTAGAGTCTTTAGCCACCGATCCACACTCAGAGTCCTGGTGCCTTCAATACCATGGTAGGGCCAGATGATGCTCCTTCAGCCTTTCCAGGTCCTGAGAACACAGCTCTGGGCATCTCTGCTTCTAGGAGGCCTGGGATGTGGAGATGTCCCGCCCCTCACACTCACACCTGCAAACTTCACAGCTGTATCCCAGCAAGGCCCACAGGCATGTGACAAAGGCAGCCACTTCTTTGAGCCTACTTCCTCATTGAAAGCATCCTGTTCCTTCCACCTGGTCATACTCAGTATTTGAGTGACAGCATGGTCTGGCCCATCCTGGTCTTGCCCTGGAGTCCTGTACCTGTCACCCTCTCTTAATCTGTTGTGGCCCTTACTGAGCCTGGCTCTGACTTGTTACCCACCTTCAAGGCTAAGTTGTCCCCAAGTCTGACCCCTACCTTTTTTTTCTCCACCCACACTCTATCCGGCCGATTCCCCACTTCTCTGACATCACTCGTTTCATCAAGCCAGCTTCATTTGGGCTGTGTCCCCTGGACTCTCGGGGCTGAGTCCTCCCTTCACAGACACTAGGAACTACAACCCTACGAGGAGGGTGCCACTGTCACAGGAGGAACTTGAGACAGTCATTTGCCCAAAGTGACATACGTATTTAGGACAGGGCTGGGATTCAACTTGGGGCATCCTGGCTTGAGAATTCATGTCCTTGACCTCAGTTTGCCTGTCCCACACCAAAACCTGGCATACTGGTCTGGGGACAGGCTCAGGGATCAGCCTTCTATCCATAATGTCTTGTGACTAACCCACTGAACAGATGGGGAAAGAGAGGCTCAGTGAGCCCACCTGTTAAGAGTAAAGTCTATGTGATGCCTCCTTATCTGGCCACTAAGAACCTAAACCCTATGTTCCATGCTGTCCACAGGATCGAGCGGAATGGGCAGGTACCACGGCAAGTTCTCCTTCGACACCTTTTCCAACCAGCGTGCCTGTCTGCTGCGCAGCCCCGGGATGGAGAAAATCAATGACCTCCGTTACCCGCCCTACTCCAGGAGAAACCTCAGATTGCTCCTGGTGGCCATGGAGGAGAGAAGCTGCAGCTGCACGCTGCTGTGAGGGGTGCTGGCCTCTGCCTCCCGAGTGCTGAGATTAAAGGCGTGCGCCACCAACGCCTTTTGTCTCTTTTTGGAGTGAGGTGTTACCTGCATGTTAAGGCTGATCCCTCCCTCAGCGACTCCTCTCCCCTCAGTTCTGCACATGGAATGTATGTCCATTCTACTCAGGGGTGAAACATTCTACCAGTCTCAGCCCCGTGCTCCATGGGATAGATTCCAGCCACCAACTGCTAAAACCCGGAATTTTGACATCCTGTCTCCTCTCCCCGAGCGGTGTTTGACCAAGTCAACAGGTCCTTCCTGGCCTGCCAGACTCCTGCAACTTAGGCACCACTTCCTAAAGAGGTCTTCCGTGACCACTCCAAACAAGACATGCAGATGGCCTCATGGCTCTCTAGTCACAGGGCCCGACTTAGGAAAGTCCCGCTATCCGCCGCTGTTACGAGGACCAGATGAAGCCTTGTGACTAAAGCGCCGCAGCTGTCCTACGGTTACAGTATTCAAATGAGCCACACCGCTATGCCACGCCCACCGGGAACGGTACCAAAGCCCCAAACCACACCCAGGAAGTCCCGCCTTCAGCAGTTCGGAAGTCTCGCGTGCTAATTTCTCCAATACAATATGGCTGCTCCCTGCAAAACTTCAAACGCCTGCTTCCATCAGCCAATCAGAAAAATCCTCATTCTGGCCCCGCCTCCTACAGCAGCACCACAGGCCAATCAGGCCACAGTAGGAAAGGGCACCAGGGAAAAAAAAAAAAAAGGCGTGGGTAGCCCGCCCAATGGTAGCATCCCGAAGTTAGGCTCCGCCTCCCGGCTGAACCGCACCTGCGCCAGGGAAGGAGCCGGCGCGCTTCAAGGTGGGTGCTCAGGGCAAGCCGGCGAACACAGGGCCTGGGTGGCGTGACGACGGGGTCGAACGTGGTGTCGCCGCTCACTCCGTCAAGTCCGGGACCCCGCGGGTCGGCTCGGTACCCGTGGCCTCTGCGTCCTTCTGCGAGCCGCAGGGTTGGGAGGCCTGCACCCTCTGGCGCATGCGCTGCCTTGCCGGATGCCTACTGCGTTCGTTCGTAGGGTCAGAGGTCAAGGGGAAGGTCTGAGAGAAAGTGGTAGGTTGGGCTCCAGGATTGCCTGGGGTCACGGGTCAAGAATTGGCCGACCCGCTAGAGGCCAAAGGTCACAGGAGGGGCTCTTTGGAGCGTTCGTAAAGTGCCAGGTTCTGGGCCAACATCACCTTGGTTGCATATAGCCCTGGTTTTGCCCCACCCCACCCCCGCCTATATCGAAGGCGAGAAGCCTGAGGCTAGGGGACATCTCTTGCCCAAGGTCACTCGGCAAGCTGGGGAGAGTTCCAGCAGGTCCTTGGGTTGGGGAGAGGAACTTGACCCTGAGGTTTATTTAAACCGTTAAAGGTTTTTTTTCTGCAGGCGACTTCTGCGTTCCAGTGCCACTAACTTTGGGGCAGTCACTTAACATGTGAGGATGACAGCTTGTGACATCTGTCATGAAGCCTTGCTCAGAGCTAACTCAGTACACTGGTGATGGTCAGGGTGTTTTGGTGTGAACTGCAGATGAGAAGTAGAAAGGGGAGGTGCATTAAGTAAGTTGAGGGGCTGCGATACGTGAGGTGCCAGGTGAGTCTTAGCAGAGTGAGGTCAGCTTGAGGGTTGGGTTGCTGCTCTCACCTGGGATGGTGAGTGAGTAGGTCCTGAGGAGGGCAGATTTAGATCCTTCACCTCCCTTCTTTTCCATGCTCCACGCCAGATGTATCGTCTGACTTCATTCATGCTGCCACGGGCCTTGGTTCAGGCCATACGCACAGGTAGGACCAGAGAACCTTTCCTGGGGTTGGGGGACAAGTTTTCTGGTATGAAGTCACAGCAGCAGAGTGTCACCCTTCTCCTTGCAGGACATCTCAGTGGCCGAAGTCTCCATAGCAGTGCAGTGGCAGCAACTTATAGTGAGTACCAGATGGTGTCTTCTGACTTAAGCTTTCCTCATCACGGTCACATCTGAGGCCAGGGAGACGGCCTTGCCAGGGACCCTCTGCAAGCTTTAATTTCCACTCCGAAAATTAAGGTGGTGATCAAGAGAGAATGTGACTCTTGGGCATAGTGATGGCATTGAAGGAGGGAAACCCAGAAGCCTTATACCCTGAACTTGAAAAGCTATACTTGGGGGCTCTTTGGGTTACCTGGGCAGAAAGAGGACTGGCAAAGCTTCCCAGGGCTGCAGACTGACTTCCCTGGGCCCTCACTAAGAGCCCACCACCCACCTGCTGCACCTAATGCTGAGAGTTGAGCCTCATCTTCCAGAGCCAGCTTCCTTAACCTCCTGTCATGATTTCTACAGAGTATGTGAATGTACGGGAGCTTGAGATGGACATGAAGTCCGTGACTGACCGCGCAGCTCGGACTCTGTTGTGGACAGAACTTATCCGAGGTAGGTGCTCGTGGGGAAAGGTGGGAGTCAGGCATGGATGTGCTGGGGAGGAGAGAGCCCCTAGACAGACAGCTCTGTGCTACTCACAGGACTGGGCATGACCCTGAGCTACCTCTTTCGGGAGCCTGCCACCATCAACTACCCATTTGAGAAGGGACCACTGAGTCCACGCTTCCGTGGGGAACACGCATTGCGCCGCTACCCATCTGGGGAAGAACGCTGCATCGCCTGCAAACTCTGTGAGGCTGTCTGTCCTGCACAGGTAAGCTCTACCTTGATACACATCTCTGGGAAAGTCCCTTTCTTTTTTTTTTTTTTTTTTGAGACAGAGTCTCACTAGCTAGTCTTAGCTGGCCTAGAACTCACTGTGTAGACCAGGCTGGTCTTGAGCTCACAGAGATCTGCTTGCTTCTGCCTTTGGAGTACTAAGATAAAGGCCTGCTCTGGCAAAAGTCAACCCTGATCCAGTGAGTGGGACAAAGAATCCTTGATGTGTAGGTGCTGAGTCAGGAAGCGGTGGTGGCCTCCATCCCAAGCACGCTCTGTGGTATACCCATATCCCACTCTAGGAGTCAGTAGATCGTGTAACATTTGAGATCAGGAGCCATGGGGTGGTTCAGGAGTCCTGTCTGTATGCCCATCCTGGCTTTGAGCCAAGGACATGCAGCCAAGGCTCCCATCCCTGGCAGCTGCTCCTTAGGGCCCTGGCCTTTGACTGTGCTCATGGGGGCTATGTGGACCATCTGCAGTTGGGGATGTTTGTGGAAACAGAAAGGTGCAGAGGTGGCTTTAGTGTGCCCAGCAGGAGCCCCAGCAGGTACAGCCTTAAGACCTGCCATGCCTAGCTCTAGCTCCTGGGTATGCCCCTGGGAGTTCCCTCACAGCAGCAGTGGTGACAGGCATGGCTTCTAGGTAGCATGCACTCTATAAAACAGGCTCATTCCTTGTGTCTGTCCTGTAACTGCAACAGTAGCCAGGGGCGATTTTATTCCCACTCTTACTAACACAAAAAGATGTGCCTCCTGAGGCCTCACTGTGAGTAGTGAGCATGCCACTAGGGAGTGTCAAGTTCCTTAACGGTTCTCCTGGCCTGTGGGTTCAAGGCTGTCCCTTCTTACTCTTGGCTGGCATATAGCTGTCCCCAGAAACCAACAGTTAAAAGATACACCAGTTTTCTTTTGTTGTTGTTGTTTTGGTTTTTTGAAACAGGGTTTCTCTGACTGTCCTGGAACTCTTTGTAGACCAGACTAGACCTTGAACTCACCAAAATCCTCCTGCCTTTGCTTCCCAAGTGCTGGGATTAAAGGTGTGCTCCACCACTCCCTAGCCTCAGGTTTCCAAGGAGAAAAGCAGATCATAGCCTTTTCCTTGTGAGACAAGAGGGTCACCTGGGCAAGTGCTGAGCAAAAACCTGGCAGAGGCTAATGGGGCCATGTGAAGGGTGGCCCCTCTGGAAGGTTGAGAATGTGGGATATCCATGCAGATCCCCAGGGGCCAGGTTGGGCTGTGAGGGGCAGACTCAGGGCCAATAGGTGTCTGCCAGTGTGACCTTTGGCCACTCCCTCAGGCCATCACCATTGAGGCTGAGCCAAGAGCTGATGGCAGCCGCCGGACTACACGCTATGACATTGACATGACCAAGTGTATCTACTGTGGTTTCTGCCAGGAGGCCTGCCCTGTTGACGCAATCGTGGAGGTGAGTGGATCTGGGTGAGGTGGCTAGCACAGAGGCTCCTGAGAGAGAGTTGCCTTGCTGACTGTCCACCCTCTTGCAGGGCCCCAACTTTGAGTTCTCCACTGAGACACATGAGGAGTTGCTGTACAACAAGGAGAAGCTGCTCAACAATGGGGACAAATGGGAGGCTGAGATTTCCGCCAACATCCAGGCTGACTACCTGTACCGGTGACCTGGCCACTTGGCTCAGGCCTCTGGCCCCTGCTGCCCATAAAGAAGCTATGATCCCACAACTGCCTGTTGTGTTGTATCTATTTGCTAGGGCAAAACCCACTCCACACAGCCAAGGGCCTGTGGCTTCCTCTGGCTAGACCAGGTGTGCATGGACCTTTGGCCTTGTTCTCTCAATGGGTTCCAGCAGCTCACATGCCCACAAGAGTGCTGGCCTAACAGAGCCAGCACTCAGTCATCTTCTGTGATTCCCAGGCCCAACAGGCCTTTTTGTGGTTGGCCACAGGACCCAGAACCATATCACACATCTTCTGGGCTTCTCTCCCCAGGGCCTGGCAATGCAGGTCATCATGGGCCTGTTATCCCCATGGTGTTGGGCCTCCTCTGAGAGGTGGGCCCCAGGTGTTCTGTCTTCTCAGACATCCATTAGTATAATTGTTTGGACTTGGGGCCTTCCCAGGCTTTAGGCCAGAGTCCATCAAGAGCCTTGGGGAGGAGGCTGGGTAGAAGGCTCAGTGAGTAAAGTGTTCCTATCCTGAGACTGCACATAAAAAGCAAATGTGGTCACATGTCTGCCACCCACTGCTGGGGTGGAGTCAGGTGGATCCCAGGGCTCACTGGCTAGCCAGCCTCATCAAAACAGCAAGCTTCAGCTTCAACGAGAGACCCCGTCTTAAAAGTGACTAAGGTGGTGGGCAACTGAGGTAGACATCCTGCTGCCAAGCTGAGCCTTCTACATGTGCTTGCACAGGGAGTGTACGTGCACACACTTACACACAAAGAGCCTCAAGAAGGCCAGGGTGAAGCTGGTGGTGGTAGTGCACACCTTTAATCCCAGAACTCAGGAGGCATAGGCAGGTGGATCTCTGTGAATTCGAGGCCAGCCTGGTCTACAAAGTGAGTTCCAGGACAGCCAGGGCTGTTACACAGAAAAACCCTGTCTCAGGGGAAAAAAGTCCAGGGTCTCTGTTGGGGAACAGGAAGCTTGCTGTAGGGTGACAGTCACAAGGGAAGGAATGACACAGGTCCTGCTGCCTCTGAGCTGGCCTTGCCTCTTGCTACATCCCCTTTCCCCACTAAGTTCCCTACTCAGGCTGCTGTGTGGCTTCAGCTTCCCAGTTTGTAGTTCAGCCAAGCTGTGTGGCTCCACACCTGAATGGGTCTTCCATGGTTGCGTACACACTGGAAGGCTGGCTGCTGGCTTGGTTTTCATGGTTGAAGGTACACTTCTACCTCAGAATAACCATGACAGCTCTGTGGCCCTGCCGCTCCCTCCACACTGAAGAGCACTGAACCTGTGACCCCTGGTATTCTTGTATGAGGGTCCTTCTCATCAAGTCAGGTCAGACCTGTGAAACACCTATTTTCTGATGGTGCCCACCTTGACTGACTCAGTTTCCAGGTAGCCCTAGGCTTCTACTCTACACTACACACACACACACACACACACACACACCAATGTCCTTGTTTACTTTGGGATCCAAGGATCACTAGCGCTGAGGGGCCCCTTGTCCCTCTGGTCCCCAGTGGGTACAGTCCAGCCTGTTCGAAGTGCAGGCAGCTGAATGGTCCTGAATCCCAGGTTCCAGACACTGGGACCTCAAGGCCAGAAGCTCCTGGAGAGTCTCCTGGCCTCCTGGGTGCAAGTTCCTCAGTAGAGACTGGCCTGACAAACGCCCTGCTGCCAGTAAGGAGGTATCCAAAGAGTGGGACAGCCATCCTGGCACACTTAGACTGGGCCCAGTGAGGTGGGGTAGCAACAGAATTTGGACACCAGCCTGTGTATACTAGGACCTATCAGGACGTAGATCTTAAGAGGGAAGGGAAGGTAGCCTGTCCCTAAGATCCTATCCCGCACCCCTGTTGTCGGTTATCTCCCAGTCCAGGACACCTAAAAATCAATCATTGCTGAGGCTGCCTTCCTCCCAGCCCCTCCTCCCAGAACTCAGCGGGGGCGGGACAGGACGGATAGGGGGCGGTGCATCACAGACCACGCCCACTCCCTGCCTTTCGGAGCTGGAGTGAGCTGCTCCCTCCGGCTGGCGGGCTCAGATCCTAAGCCGGAGCCTAGCGACGTGCCCACCAGGGTGAGTGTCCTGAATCCGCAAGGCTGCGGAGCTTTAACCCTTCCCGCCACCCGCTTCCTTGCCCGGACAGGGGTTCAAGCACCCCGCCCGATTCCGGGTGGAGGAAGCTCAGAGGCCACGCGCCCGTTTCAGGCCGTATGGGGTTTGGGGTGCAGGCAGGCCGCAAGGAGGATGGGTTGCTAGCTCTGGTAAGTTCGGAGCCAACGTTACCAGGCCTGAGCTCAGGGAGCCCCCTGCTGCGTTCGGATCGAAGTGAGGGACCCATTCTACAGATGAGGAAACAGAGACCGCCCAAGTAGGAAGTGGCGGGGCTCGAGGCGGATTCCAGTTCCTCTCCTCGTGCTATCTTCCTCCGAAAGGCAGGGAGTGGGACAAGGGGTGTGGGACCGAAGGAAGGACCAAGAAAGGGGTGTGAGAGTGAAGCAGAACTTCAGGGCATCCGGGGAAGGCCGGAGCACCAGCGGTGTGTGGGTCTAGCCCACAGATGCCCTGCTGGATGCAGGAGGCAGGAGCTATTAAATCACAGTGCTTGGTGTGGACTGCAGGGGGCAGGGAGGTGCTTTCATTTGTCTCTTATCTAGATGGTTGGGTTCCATGGCTGGGGCAGCCCTGTGGTGTTGGTTATGGTGCTGGGACTGATCAGAGCAGCTTCCTCAGGTCTGGGTCAGACCTCTCTCTGGTTTGATCCTAGCTGACTTCACCTTACTCAACCTGGATTAATCCACCTATAAGATAAGGCTGGGGTGGGCCTGTGTGGTGGTGGCGGATGAGGTGGTGACACACAGCTTTAATACAAGCATTCAGAAGGCAGAGGCAGGTGGCTCTCTGAGCATGAGACCAGCCTGATCTACATAGTAAGTTCTAGGACGGCCAGGGCTATACATAGAAACCCTGTCTTGAAACCCCCAAAAGAAAAAAAAAAGGAAGGAAAAAAAAGATAAGGCCAGATAACCAGTCAGTGGTTAGCATGGTGGTGTTTATAGAAGACATGGGGGTTCTAGTCTTTTGTTCATCTCCCCACTCACATCTTACCTTTCCTACCAGGGTGGCCAAGGCTTTTTCTGAGGTGGGGGGTTCGAGGTAGGATTTCTCTGTGTATGGGCCCTGATGTCCTGAAACTCTCTTTGTAGACCAGGGTGGCCTTGAACTCACAGAGGTCCCCTGCCTCTACCTCCCGAGTGCTGAGATTAAAGGTATGCGCCACCACTGCCCTGCTTGGCCAAATCTTATTCAACGAAGAGGAAATATAGGCCCAGAGAGGGCAAGTGACTTACTTAGTGTCACACAGTTGATCACAATCTGGGCAAGACCCTAGAGACTGGCCCTCTGTTCTGTGGCCAGAGCCATGCTCTTGGGTGATGGCACCCAGTCCTTCCTGCCCACCCTTGCCTGGCTCTTCTGAAGTCCTTGACCACCCTCTGAATTCTTTCTGTTCCCAGGCTAGGGATAGGACTGTGGTTTCCTCTTAAGTTAAGAAAACCAGGCCTTGGGAAGGAAGTGGCCTGTGGGCAGGCCCAGACAGCAAGCTGGGACCATTAGCATCTAAAGTTCCCCTCGATGGCATGCTGAGGAAACTGTCCTACTAGGACGCTGAGCCTGAGAGCATAGCTACAGAGCAGGCAGGGGGCTGGGCAGAGTGTCGGCTTTGGGGGCATCTGCAGGGCCCACTGGAGTCCACTTGGAGGCAGGAAGTGTCTGCCTGCTGGGGTTGGAGCAAGGCTACCAGGCCTTCCTGTTCATTGTTCATTGTTTCACAGTTTCACTTTCATGGTTTCAACACCATGACTGTCCCCAGCCCCACAGGCAATGCTGGCAAGCCAGCCCATCAAAGCAACCCCCACCCCTACCCCCAGCGACCTTCCTCTTCAGGTTTTTAGACCCAGGGGACCTAGAGGACACTCCACTCCCACCCCACTGCATGTGTAGGGAGGCAGCCTGGACAGTTCAGCTGCACTGGGTGTCACTTGTCACAGCCTCGGGCCTGGAGCCTAGGATCCCAGGGATAAGCTGGGTCTAGAGTGAGGACAGGCAGAGAGGTGGTTCAGTGCTGCAGAATGGTGGGCAGAGCCGGTGTGTCTGGCAGCTGCTGGCCTGGACTGGGGAAGGAGGCCATGGAAAGCTAGCTTAGGGACAGCCTAAGTGGTAGCTGTGGGGCCATTGCCTGCTCCATGCTTCGTTATGCTGTTGACTTGCTGTCGACTTCAGTACCCATTATCTCTTGCTGGGCCTCAGTTTCCCTATCTGTCCCGTGATTGGGAACAGGTGTATAGATGCCTGCCTGGAGCAAGCTCCTGACCAACTTTTTTGCCTGTCCTAAGGATCATGGGTTCCATGTTCCGGAGTGAAGAAGTGGCCTTGGTCCAGCTCCTGCTGCCCACAGCGGCTGCTTACACCTGCGTAAGCCAGCTGGGCGAGCTGGGCCTTGTGGAGTTCAGAGACGTGAGTAGAGACAGAGTCCTGGGCAGGTGACACACATCCAGAAGGGCCCTGGCCCCTTGCTGGAGCATCCCAGCCCCTCCCAACACAGGAGCTCTTCCCATGCCTACTGATACCCTCCCTGGCCTGGGGTTAAGTGTGCTCCAGTTCATCTTCAGACTAATTGGGCACCCAGCAATGTTTTCAAGGGTTGCCTCAGGCCTGGACCCCAGAGCAGCTACCTCCTGGTCCCTCCCTGAGACTCTGAGTCCTCTTGTACCCTTCACAGCTCAACGCATCTGTGAGCGCCTTCCAGAGGCGCTTCGTGGTAGATGTCCGGCGCTGCGAGGAGCTGGAGAAGACCTTCAGTAAGTTGGGCCCAGGCCCACATTCCAGGCTAGCTTCTCGGAAGGAATACTGGTCAAGCTTGGTCTGAAGGGAAATGCCTCGGTTACCCAGGTGAAAGGCAGAGAAGGGAGATGTAGGCAAGAACTGCTGGGATTTGCAAGATGCCCTTGGCTCTGGATGGGTAGAGCCAAGGACCTAAGACAGTGTGGCTTGGAGTAGGTCCACATCCCAGAACTTGTCCTGTGGATGGTAGGAAACAAGAGGCACAGACTGAACTTTCTCCTCTAGATGGACTGGTATGGGCAGAGGCTGGGGTTGATGGCTGGGCAGCTTCTTCTTCTTCTTCTTCTTCTTCTTCTTCTTCTTCTTCTTCTTCTTCTTCTTCTGATTTTATTTATTATGTATACAACATTCTGCTTCCATGTATATCTGCACACCAGAAGAGGACACCAGATCTCATAACGGATGGTTGTGAGCCATCATTTGGTTGCTGGGAATTGAACTCAGGACCTCTGGAAGAGCAGTCAGTGCTCTTAACCTCTGAGCCATC